AAACTTTTATATGTAACATATGTTCAATTTTTGGGTAAAATTTTTTTAGTCGATATCCTTATATAGAAAATGATCTATATTCACCTTACCTTTAAGTCTCTAGATTCAGGTCCTTATTTTTAAAATCAGAATTTATATCTATATTTTGATGATAAATCAATAAGATCCCAATAAATATATATATATATATATTATTATATAATTAATAACTGATTTCTAAAATAATATTAGAGTGATATATAATTTTATTTGGAATTTAACTTTTGTAATACTATTCAATTTTTGGTTAAATATCAGATATAATTTTATTACTCCAAGTATATTTAGTGATAAAGTTATATATAATTGATCATTAACAAATTTATTCTATTTTATTAGTATAAGTAGCAAGACTAATATACAGTATTATTTTTATATTATAAAAACTTCTATATAACTTAGATATATAGCCAAGTATTATGTATATACTACTAAGAATATGCTAAAAAGTTTAAGCAAAAATATAATACAATAGGGTGAAATCCACGTTATGAATTAGTAAAATTCACTATGTAGATCACATGAAGATGAAATTCACTTTGGTATAATAAAAAACATAGCTAAATACAGATTTCACTCTAATGTGATCTATATAGCAGATTTTACTAATTTATAATGTGAGTTTCACCTAGTTCTAATATAATAAGTTCAAGGAAAATTATATTCATAACACCGTGTTATATAACACCCTATTACGTAATACTATTTATTTATATATATTACACATATATACTATCTATATACAGATAAATTATACTAAGATATATAATGCATATATTACACAAATGCTATATCGAATCTACATATTACACAGATATTGTACAAAAGTATATATTACACAAGTGTTAGTTGCTTTACCAGAATTAACAAATTGGCCTAAACTATATACTTATCCTAACACTAACTCAAGCAAAAGCAACATCTAGCAATAATCGTAAATATAACAATAGAAATCATTAATAAATACAACATAGGAAGAGGTTAGTGAATCGCATATGCTTTTTGAAAGTTAATACAAACGTTTTTTCTAACCCTAATATAAAGAAAAGTCAATTTATTACTGGCTGTCACCCTAACATAGTAAAGCATTTTGCTAATACCATCATGAAAGTTTTAAAAAAGAAGTTATTTAGCCTATAATCAGTTCTTATTCTATATACATGAAAGAAAATGTTGCATTACAATTACTATAACTCCCAAAAAATCTCATTAGCATGCTAATCTTAACTCATCCAAAAAGTATTTAATAACTTGTCCTAACTATTTTACCTAATCTTAGTAAACAATAAAGCTAATAGTATATATGTATATATTTACTCTAATACAAAAGAATGGCTATATAGTAAAGTAGTTCAATACTGGAATATAAATTAAGGCAGACAGTAGAAAACATAATAGTACATACGGCAGTAAATGAAAAAATTATTCAAACCAAGGTTCTTTCTTATAACGTAAAAAAAGCACTTATTCTAACTACAACCATTAAAAAGAGAATTACTCAAACTGAAATTATTTTCCTATAACCCCTGACACAAAAAAAAAGAAAATCTTAGCACTTACTCTAACCCTAACTATCAGAAAAATAAACTATTCAAGCCAAAGTTATTTTTCTATAACCCCTAATATGAAGAGGACAATACTACGTAGCACTCATCCTAACCCTAATCATTAAAAATGATTACTTATAAAAATTGAATTTTTATAAGTCTACTAGTATGTAACCGGTTGCATAAACAATATTATATGATTTCACGGACATGCATTAGAGTGTCCAGCGAAGATAGCCAAATTATGCATGTGAGAAATTTGAGTCATTAGCAAAAAAAGAATGATAAGTCAGGTAATTACAGACTCACAGCCAACCTGGTTTATTCATTTAACCAATTAATTTTTGTTCACATGCTGCATTAAAGTAAGCGAATTATATGGTAAAAATCGCAAATTATGTGTAGATCATAATCCTGGACACTAACATGCATGTTTGTGAAACCACATGTTATCTATTATAATAATGATATATAGCAAAAGCAGACTTAGGTATCATCAAGAGAAGACTTGAAATTTTTTTCTAAACAATTACATATTTAAATAGTGATCACAATCAATTCGAATATAACAATAAAGAACAATAAATGCGTGTTATTATCTTTTCATATGAAATTTAAAATGCATACTGCTTAACTTTTCTCAATACATATATATATATGCGTGTACATTCAATTTTATTCTATTAAATTGGATTTTTTTTGTGGACAAGTACTTTGATAATGGTTAGGTTCATGACAAAACCCACAAACTCTTACTTTTGTAGGCTCTTTACTCTTCTTTGGCTGATAATTTTCTTGTACACCTTTAAGCCATTTCTTGCGTAGAGCTTCTTTTCCAATATGATTTAACAGATTTGCAACTTTTTCAATAGAAATTAGTTGACCATTGTCAGTTTCAATAGCTAAAGCATTTCCTGAACTATAGTTTTCTCTAAGAATTCGCAATTCTCTTTCTTTAGTTTCCTTTTCACATTGAAGAGTCTTCTTTTCAATATAACTTTTTAAGAGAATATCTAATTCATTGTCATTTGCATCGCCATCTTGTAATATAACAGCTTGCTTCGCTAAACTCATAGATTTATTATACCGAAGCTTTTTGTCTACAGATCTTTGAATATTATTTTCTTGTACATTGTCAATTTGAAGTAAATTTGTATTTGTTTTATTAATTAATTTATGTATAATCGGTGCCAATTTAGTATCTCGATTTGACATTAAAAATGGCTCTCGGGCATGTTCAGGTTCAGTTACTTCATCTTTACACCATCGAAGTGGTACCAACATTATATGTAATCTTGCAAATTCCAATTCGAGCATCATACAAAAAAAGTGCCGACATACAAGCCTATAACTAACCAATAAAAGGCAAGTATATAGATGCCGTCCACTTTTATATAAAACAACATAATGGATTGATTTAGCTGAGGTTAAACATGTGATCTTCCAAACCTCTTGTACATCAGAATATTCATTTTCTTTAATTAAAGATAATAAATATGATTGAGAAACATCATATGAATTCTCTATAAAATCACTATCATACGCAATCTCTTGCAAATTTGATAAATTATCAGCATCCCACATCTATAAAATAAGACCAATTAATCAAAACAACCTGAATAAAAAAAATTAAGCTGACAACTCCGGCAAAGTTTCTGTGATCTATGCTGCGCCATTAACCACATGTTCATATGATTATTTTATAGCAGAGATCGCAGAAACTTTGCCGAAGATATCACCAATACTAGAATTAATCCAAAAAACGCATTCTCAAATTTACCTACTTTAAATATATGCGCACGATATAAAGTAGATTGAATGATTTGCTTTTGCTGTTCAATTGCTAAGTTTGGTGTCAAATACTTATTTATTTGTTGAACAATTTGTGAATAAACAGTGCTTAAAATAATATGATCATTGTAATTAATTCGTTTCTGGGTCCATAAATTAAATTGTTGATTAAGATCTTCACGCTCAATACGTTGATGTATTGCATCCATAACTTGTAATAATAATGATGAGCTACTTATAGCCGTTTTAATAATATGATTAAGCCCTTCAACCCTCTGGGTTGATTGCATTTCTCCATTAAAAATTTTAAATGTATAAGTACATACCCACGATTCTTTAATTGAAAATAGTTTTTGTAAGTATGAAGACACAGTTGGATATTCATCCATAAGGTTTTTGAATCGCATTTTAAATATACTTTCGCTCAAGCTATTGCGCGCCATATAAAAGTCTTTAATAAAGTTTGCATACTTTTCACCAAGTTTGCCTCAAAGGTTTTTTAAAATATTTTGACCAAGATGGTATAAGCAAAATAAGTGCTTTGTATTAGAAAGATCATGAGCCACAACGTACTTCATAAAAAGGTCTTCGTCTGTTATTAAAACCTTCAGAAAAATACCAGTCGCCTTTTCTAATTGTTCTATAACCCACCGGAAAGATTCAATAGTTTCATTAAGCATTAAAGCCTGTGCAGCAATTCGGGTTTTATTGTGATTATCAATTAGAACAAACAAGCATAAAGGAAATTGTAGTGATTTGTTTGAGCTGTATTGTCTTGAATTATTACATCACAAAATCTAATGCACCTTTCTCTTTGACCCAGGTCCATCCAAAAAACTCCACAAAGACGATTACTAACAGGATCTATTAATGGCTTAATATACCAATTAGGATCTGCCTCCTTATATTCATAAAGCTGTGTTAAAAGTCATGACGCATCATTTCTTTCTACACTATGTTCTCGCCATAATTGAGCGACAATATTAGCAAGATCACGTGTTAAAAAAAGTTGATTAGGATATTTGGTGGTTATAAGAGACCTTATTGTTGATAGGTTGCATCGGTCATTTATAACTAAGTGCTGAATTTCGTCACGACAATCATCAGAAAACCAGCGATTTATGGGAGCAAAAATATTGGTGTCTGGTGAAAGCTGATGCTCAGTATAGTGATCATTAAAACTAGTAATATGAACCAGACCCGTTGCTGATGACAAGTTAATTTTCCAATCACAATTAAGTTTCTTAGAACCTTTATTGTGTTGGTTTTGTAAATAGTTTGTTTTTTTTGGCTTGTACATGCTACCAAATTCACACTTGTAATATAAATTCATTAAACGTCCATTATTGTCAATTTTATTACGTATCTTAATTGTCATGAATCCTTTTTGATGGCCATATTGAGTAACATAATGCTCAGCAATAGACCAGTTAGGGAAAGTATCATCAATAGCGAATACAATTCTTTTAGTAATGTTAGGTAATATACCATAGATCTCAACCAAACCCTGTCCTTTATAGATTTCATTATCTGACATTTCTGTTAATTCTTGAGGCACAACGGAGGAATCTAAATCTGAGTCTTGAGGCGCAATGGAGAAATTCAAATCTGAGTCTTGAGGCGCAACAAAGGAATCCAAATCTGAGTTCTGAGGCCCCAAGAGTTGTTCTTGATCGGAGGTAAAGTCCAAGAGTTGTTCTTGATCGGAGGTAAGGTCTAAGAGTTGTTCTTGATCGGAGGTAAGGTCCATAATTGTTATTAAAATCCAACAAGGTCAAAGAAGTACTGAAGTAAAACAGAGAACCCGGAGGAGCAAAAGAGAGTTAAGGCCGAAAAATTGTTAATATCTAAAAAATAAAGTAGGTAAGTGTTTAGAAAGTTGATCATAACCACTACTATTTATGCCACTATTATGATGGCAAAACCCACCTGACAAATGAAAAATAGGCCAGAATAATGAGCCAAAGATAATTAAGGCCAAAAAAAATTGTTGACACCTAAAAAGTAAAGTAGGTAAGTGTTCATAAATTGATCATAATCCTACTTAGCTAATATAATTGCAAGATTCATACCACTATTATGATGACAAGAACCACCTGACAAGCAAAAACAGACTAGAAAAAGGAGCCAAAGATAATTAAGGCCGAAAAAAAATGTTGACACCTAAAAGTAAAGTAGGTAAATGTCCAAAAAGTCGATCACAACTACTACCACTCAACTAACAAAATTGTAATATTCATACCACTATTATGATGACAACCACCACCTGACAAATGAAAAATAGATCAAACGAATGAGCCAAAGATAAATAAGGCGATAAAAAATTGTTAGTGTTCAGAAAGTTATCATAACCACTATTCAACTAACATAATTATGTAATATTTATATCACTATTATGATGGCAAGAACCACCTGACAAGCAAAAAACAGACCAGAAAAAAGGAGCCAAAGATAATTAAGGCTAAAAAAAACTTTCGACACCTAAAAATAAAGTATGTAAGTGTTCAGAAAGTTGATCATAGTCACTATTCAACTAACATAATTGTAATATTCATACCACTATACAATAGCAAGAGCCACCCAACAAGCGAAAAAGACCAGAAGAAAGAGCCAAAGATAATTAAGATCGAAAAAAGCTACTCAAATATTCTTCGATTAGAGTGAATATTTGTCAATCCCTTTTATTACAACCAGAATCACCCAATATCCTGATAAAGAAACACTTGGCACCTTATTATTAAGGGGAAAAGAAAGGAAAGAGCCACCCAACACCTTAAAGAGAGACAACACCCTTGAGTAAGACCAACCACCTTGCTTAAAGAGAGACAACACCCTTGATTAAGAGAGATGAGCCACCAATGACTTGGTCAAAGGAAGATAAGCAACCCAACACTTAATTAAAGCGACAAGAACCACCAAACGCTGAGTAAAGACAACATCTTGCTTAAAGAGACGATGCTCTTGATCAAAAGAGATGAGCCACTGACGACTTGATTAACGAAATATAACTACTCAACACCTTAATTAAAGCAACAAGAACTACACAACACTTTTTTTTGAAGCGGCAAGAGCAACTAACACTTTTTTGAAGCAACAAGAACCACCAAACGCCTTTTCAAGATAATGTAGAAAATCAGATAACTGCTATTTATATAAGAATCAAACGTGCAGGGATGATCGTATATATACTAAAATTATGGTCACGTGATATAGTGCGATATACAACACAGTGTTATAAATATAATATTTCTAAGTTCAATATATATATTATTTTATAATAATTAATTTATTAATCTAAAACATGCATAAAATCAGCAATGCATGTAACTTAATAGAATTGTAACTTAAACTAAGATTTGTTTATATGTTAAACCTTGTTTGATATTATACAAAAAATTTAATTTATTGTTATATATTAATTAAATAAATCTAATATATCAATCTATTACAAAGCAGATTATTAGATAATGAATTAGAGATTCAAGACTCTGTTTTTTTTTGAATCATAGCTCTTTGAGTCTACATATAGTATTACTTTCTGAGACCTATTATAATATTCTGTAAGATTAATCTTTAATTTTTTTTTTTTTTGGTATTAAGGTGAGGCCTTGCTCGTATCTTTATTAATAATTTTTGAAATAGCAACAATATAGATTACTACAACAATATAGAGATTTACAGAGTAGCTACTATTTGTACTAGTACAAATAAAAATAAAAATTATATG